TACATGTTAGGGATATCAATGAAATGCTTAAGAATTATCTATCTGTTTGTTTTCGGCATAGAAATTCGCACTGATGTGCAGCACTTCAAGTCGCCACACTCCCTCCATGTAGCACCCAAAGCAACAGAAGAAAGTAGAACAAATGCATAATAGAGACAGTAAACAGAGGTGTGAGTCAAAGGAATAGTTATAACGAAGAACAATATAGTTTCATTGGAAATTGTAAATCACAAGGAGTGGATACCTTTGCGTTAGCCATCACCTAGAACCATTTTTAGCCATATCACAGATTGTCTCCAGCCTTCATTGGTTTTTACCGTTCCGAGGGCCCCAACCAACCGGTCAGGAAGTCTACACCTTCCTACATGACTGGCTGTCTGGCTTAAACTAACTGTTGTGGATTTCATTGACTAATGAAGCCATGTTTTGGTTTGACCGCTCCTGGGTCTTTTCCAGCCTCACTCTATGTTAGCTACTGAAGAAGTATTTGATTTTAATCTTCTACTCAATCTAAACGTATGTATAGGACCGACAGAAATGTGTTAAACACTAGAGTTGTTTTAATATACTGTCAACTTCATTAGGAAACAGTCCCATAAGACTGCTCTTTTTTCTTGAACTGAATTACTTAAAAGAGGTCTTTTACGAGCCAAACATTTTGTTTGAGAACTGATGATACTACCCAGTTGCCTTATATATTTTATTTATTTAAACACAAAAAGCTCGGTACAATATGGCACCGAGATGTACCACACATTATGTGAGGGCTGAAATACTGCCCGGGCTCCCACACCTAAGCAGCTGGTTTTCTTAGAGGACCAACTCCCGAGCCTTTGAACTGAAGTCTAATCCATAGCGTAGCGTCAGGAGCTACGTTTCCATGGTTGCCGGTGACCAATACAAATTCATACGCCATTTGATCCGATTGGATTCTGGAGCCCATCTGCTCTATAGTAACTGCTTTTAGTCTAAGCGCTGTCCACACAACCTTCCTGATACGGTAGGACATATTTAGCTTGTTGGGTGGGTTGCCACCGCGGTATTCAAGCCCGACCACCACGGACAAAGTAGCAGTTGGCGGCGACCAGGACTCAGTTGTCTAGCCAGAAGGAAGTAGACGGAGTGGGACTGAAAACTGTGTGAGCTATTGACTAAGTCTCAAGTGTTTAAAGAAATGATCCACTGCACAGAATAAAAAAAATACTTTGAGTAGGCTCATAAAATAGTAGAAGCGAAATTTTAGATGTTTTAATCTTGAATTTCAGCAAGTCATTTTCATGGTACAGGGAAAATAATTAAATGTGTGCATAGTTATATCTCTTTTTTGTGGGATGTGGTTGATGTGGCTAAGTTACGTTGGAAACATTTGTTTCCTGAAACAATTTGAAAACAAACAACAAATATCGATAAAAACAAAACACGTAATCCAGCGAGGAGGCTGTTTTCAAAGAATTTACTTTCTTTAGTTGTAAAATCCCACTTATATACAATTTTTCATGAAAGAGGGTAATAACAAAGGTGACGGGTTGTCATAAACATAGTTGGTAATATTAATCAATGCATAAAAGATGAATTAGTTACTTAAAAGAAAAGCTCTAATACACTTAAAAGGGTGAATAATTTAATGGATAAGTCGTAATCAGGATGAACTTGGAATTGAAGAAAAATATAGGATCATGTAAGGGTTGTAAAGAAAGACGAGAGTTACAGGATTTCATTATGAGCTGAAATTGGTTAGAGAACCATCGGAAAACCAGCTGAGAGTACTGGACGACTGTTTCGTCCAAGTTTGGGACTCCTCATTAGTACGCACCCACTGGGGTTCAAACTCAGGACCTTCTGGTTACAAGGTGAGCTCTTAGACCATTAAGCCGCTGGGATCCGATTCAATGGCTGTCGCATGAACTCTAACTTCTGCCAATGTCAGCTCATGATGAAATCCTGTAACCAATGAACCAAATCCCTACAAACCAATACTTGGAAGACGAGAGTTTTAAGGAGTTAGAAAAACAAGCAAACAAAAATCAAGTTAGTAGGAATCAACAAGGTTGTTACCATGGTAGAAGAACTGGTTGAATAATTCTCTTTTGTATGCATAGCCCCGGTTTTTCTAACTAAATAATTAAAGTTTTGGCAATGCGAAGGACACAAAAGAGTATTGCCTGTGGCAGGTTATCCTTCACGTCGCAGATTACTTTGAAACAGACTTTTGTTGAGACGGGATAGCTGCCGGTGTTGACAAGGTGTTCGATTATCGCACTCCTTATACAGCCATTACTACCTTCCTGCAACCATGTGGAATAGTGTTCTTGAACCTTCTTATATAGAAACAGGTGAACTGATATATGCACACAGAAGTGGTTACATGCGAGATTTTATCCCTGAGGCTTTTGCAGACCAATGGATGGCTGGAGACCGCTCCTCTTAAAGTTGCTGCGAAGGATGTCGTGAAAGATGCTGAAATTCTTCTCTTAAGGATATAGCAGGTTAAGTCTCCCTTGAAATCTATGCTCATATTTTCCTTCGTTTCTATGTTCACCCTGATTACACAGATCATTCATTAAATTATTCATCTTATTGCGTAACTCGAATGCACTTATTCAACTTCGTTTGTGCAGTGATTAATATGTTTGTGACAACTCGTCACCTTTGTTATTACCTTCTTTCATGGAAAAGTTGTACATACATGGGATTGTACATCTAAAGAGAGGAATTCATTCTCCAAAAAGAGCTTCTTCGCTGAACTGCATGTTTTGTTTTCCTTAAATATTAACAACAAAGCCAAGGGGTTCTACCGAAACTTGATGAATTCATTAAGTCCTACCGTGTTATTTTAGAACATTTTTGGCGTGTTTTAGATTTGAAAATCGTTATTTCCAAGAACTATTGGTGGTTGAAGCGTTAATAGACAGTTATTTATTTAATATCAGATTTCTTCACATACTCCTGATCGATGGGAAGATTTATACCCTATAAGGGTTTAGGATGGTTTCAGTTTTTCCAAGGATTTTCATGTGATATGCTTGACATTGGTTTTTTTTATTTTTATTGTTTCGCCTTCCCAGGGGAACATAGGGCTTCGAGTCAGAGCTTTGAAGTTTCAGTAGCAGTGAATGTTTTTACTGGGTGGGTTGACAGCCTCACACCCAACCTCCCCTTTTTGTTGGGATTGTAACCGCCGGGTAAGGCAGTTAAAGGTGTGTGCCGGCAGGGAGTCGGAACCCGGACCGCATGTATAGTCAGGGATTCACCGCCCTATCGACAAACAACCACTGACGCGCTTGACATTGGTGGCTAATACATTCTAGTGTCTCTTCAAGCGGTAAAACAAGTTGTCTGATTGACGCTAGTTTCAGTGTAGAACTTTACACAGATGTGCAGCAGTGTGAGTCTTCACACTCTATGTATCACACAGAGCAACAGAAGAAAGTAAACGAAATGCTAAGCAGAGGCAGTCAACAGAGATATTAGGCAAAAAACAATAGTAATATGGAAGGACCATATAACTCACTTATGCATAAGATTTTATTTTGATAAAATCACACAGTGTTATACAGTGATATATTTACTGATGACCACGTTTCGAGCACAAATTATTGACACTCATAATCATATCAAGTCACTAACACAACTTTCTTACTTCGTTTATATACATGAGTGGAATTGGTTAGACATTTCTATAAAAATCAATATAGGATAATGTACATTCAGAAATAATAATATGAGTGTTATTCATTAATTATATTCAGATGGGAAATAAGACGAGTGTTTTCATATTCAAAATAAGTAACTTCTTATTATGTTATTATGTACGTGAATTGAGATAAAATTTTAAGATTATTAATCATTATCCTCCTCTGATTTGACTGACTGGTGGTAATAATATCTTCCATATTTGTGGTGTTTGCATTGAGTCACTTCTATTACGCATGTGTTGTGTGTAGACTCGATGAACCAGAATTCAGTAATCAGTCTCTTTCTCCACCTACCTGTATTAATTTTTAAAATTTTAACCCTCTCCCACCCTATTGTGTGAATATGTGTTAACGCATGCAATCCAATCGCTGAGATTTTTTCTAAATTACTTATCTTATCGGGGGTATTTTGTAAATTAAATTATTTTGTTTAATTGGGTCCACCGGGTCTTTTAGCCTACAGAGCTTGTCCTACTTGAGTGAGTTTGTAGGTTTGAATGTCAACACCCTAATTCCTGCTTTATTGAGAACCCTACCACGTAGGGCCTCAGGTGTCCCCTCCCTTAGATGCCTTATATTCTCTCTTATTTATGTTATCATTACTAGTTTCACCACTATTTTTATTTTGCTTTTGACCCTTTTTTTTAATATTCCATCTTATCTGTAAGGGAGTTATACTCTACCACAGTGCCCAAGTTTTATACTTATATCAATAAAAACCATATAGTTTCATCGGATATTATAAGTCACAAGAAGCGGATGCATCTGCACTAGCCATTGAGAACTATTTTTTGAGCCATATCATCATCAATTGTCTCCAGTCTTCGTTGGTTTTTACCGTCCCGAATACCCCAGCCAGGAAGTCTACACCTTCTTAAGTGGCTTAAACTAACTGTTGTGGATTTCGTTGACTGGTTCCATGTTTTCGTTTGACCACCACTAGCTTTCTCTTTTCCAACCTGATCCATCCTATGTCAGTCATTTAACATTGCCTGTTGTCGAGGTAGGCGATGGTTAGGCATACGTAATAAGTTGTCTCCTCTGTGAGTGTATTTTTGTTAAAAAAAAAAGCCTTTTAAGACAGTCTTTAATTTACTTTTCTCGTATTTTTTTTATTTTTCATATTTAGACGCTTTTTGTAAAGTCAATTTAAAGTCAATCGTCCATATCACATGCTAAACTAGTCATCATCACCATTGATATCGCCAACATGTTATTCTAGTCATAAATTCGAACAAAAGAAAATCCCACTGGAAAACATATATTACAATAACAACAACAACAACAATCAGGGACAGATGAATAATGATATTTTTAGAAATTCTTAATCGAGCTGTAGAAGAATCTCTTTTATATCGATTTGAAAATGCTAAAAATGGGTAGGTCACCAACTTCCCCTTGCCCTCCCGGCCCCCACCCTCCTCATCCACTCACCCATTTCCCCTGACCCCCTGATAATTAATTAATTTACCCCCTTTTTTCTCTTCTTTTCTCTTCTTCAAATTTAGTTTAAAATTTGAAAAATTTGATCAAACGCTAGCCGATTTCGATGGAGCTCTATATCGTATCCACAGTGTACCGAATGATCGAGCAAAAATTATTGTCAGTTTGACATTGAATTTTTTCAAAGAATTACAAGAACACGGAACAAATGAGGTATGTCTACGCTGACTAGATTCCGTCATGTGTGTGTGTTTATGCATTAGGTGTTGAAACGAGAATATGCCCAGTATTTGTTAAGCCAACCTGAAGACGGGTGTAGTGTTTCACTGCTATACGACTTGGAGAATTTACCAGAAGATTATAGCCTGTTAGCACAGAAAGCTGCATTACTAAAAAGAAATTGTTTTGCTGCTGTATTTGAAAAATTTTTTGAATTTCAAGCTTTGGGTGAAGAAGCTATCGGTGGGTGTAAAACAGCGGTTATACATTATCGACCAGATGAAACACTGTAAGTGTTGGTTAGTCATTTTTTTTTGATATTTTCATTTCTCTGGTGGATGATGTTGAATTAGTTGTGTTCTCTAAGCTGCTGATTGATTTAATTGTGAAGCTTTCATTGTCCAACTGAGAAAATTTTTGAGCCATATCTCTAATTGTTTCTAGCTCTTGATTTTTACAATCTAGAGGACTCCAATCAGCCTGGCAGCCCACACCTCCCTACGTGGTTCAAACTATCTGTTGAAGACTTCATTTATTGATTCTGTGTTTTGGTTTGACGTCCACTAATTCTTTTCCAACCTGATCCTACATGTGCTAACATCTAGGCTTATGTACAACATTTTCCAGCTGTCTCACAGTCTCATTAATTGACGTCCCCACGTTACCTAACACTCGACGCCTAACCTCAGTATTACCCTGTTATACCACCTGACGGGGGGGGAGGGGAGAACGCAAACACCTGTGATCAAAGGCAGATATCTTCTTCATACCTTCCACTTTACATGGAGGCTATGTCTCACAGTCATAAACGAGCACCTGAACGAACTGCTGCGCGATAAGTACACGTGTCCTTTGAGCGATAGTCGGATATCATGTCTACACTATGAAACGACGTAAGTTATCAGATGTCAGTCGAGCCTTTTGTATCTGTGCTAAAATTTCGTGAGGAGTAATCAGTCCATTTGGGCTGATACACGCTTCAGCGCGCCTTACCACTCCACTCCTGTCTATCTTTAAGCTAGCAGTCAATGTAGTTCAGTCCATGTGGTATCACCTTACATTTGATAAGAGCAAACCGTATGTCAAACATTCAAGGATTACCGTTTATTATTGTGTTCAGAAGATTCTTAATTTCATTAGTGTTTACACTTAAATGGACTGTCTGTCTATCTGTATGTTTTCAACATAGAACTTTGCACCGATTTGCAGCACTTCAATTCGCCACACTTCATGTAGCACACAAAGCAAGAGAAGAAATTGAAAAGAAATGTAAAATAGAGACAGTCACAAGGGATGGATGCATCTGCACCAACCAGGCAGCCAGGAAGTGTACACCTTTCTACGTGGTTGGCTGTCTGGCTTAAACTAACTGTTGTAGATTTGATTGACTGGTGAAGCCATGTTTTAGTATACTTACTTTACTTTACTTTACTTCGGCTATCTCCTACGGGAGGATGAGCCGGCTTCATGAACGTCTCGAGTCATCGCTGCCCAGGCGCGGCAATTTGTAAGAGAGTTCATGAAGTTTCATGGGAATTTGGTACGAGTGATGTCCCCAGCATCGCTCGGCCTTTTGTTTGAGAGTGCAGCTCTAGCCTTTACACAGCCAAGTGTGACCTACAAGGCAGTAGGAGTGGAGTAAGGAGTCCACTATCCATTGGGAGCCGGTGACCGGAGTTCGGTTCATACGCCTTTTTGAATGGGGCCAGACATCCAGGACATCCAACAAGCCCTTTGTCCATACGTCTGCCGGTGAGCTCCAGTGAGCTTCATACACCAGTCGTTGGAGGTTTGGAATCAGGGTTTAGCCATCTCCCCTAGACCGTCATCCAATGGACAGTCAACCCGGTGGAGAGCGCCGGGCATCCGCTTTCGCCCTCTTACTTTGGTGAGAAACACCTCCGCCTTGTTTTTAGTATGTTTTAGTATGACCTCTGCTAGTTCTTTTCCAGCCTAATCCTATGTCAGCTAACATTGCCTGTTGTCTAGGAAGGCGATAGATAGCTAGGCTAGGCATGTCTAACCATCTCAATCGATGTAACTTCACAGCCTCGTCTATTGAGTTTGCCTCCCACCTAGCACTCGGCCGAAGCCTAACCTCAATATTGCTCACCCTATTATACCACTTCACACGGAAGATAGAACGCAGGCACCTATTATCAAAGACAGCTAACTGACTTTTTCATGTCTTCCTATCTCAATGGTCAGGTCTCACAGCTAGCCGTAAAGGAGGACGGAGCGGATCGCTGAGCATTACACACGCCCTTTGGTTTACAGCCAGTCGGATATCACATCTACGCCACAGACTGCGTAAACTGGCATATGCTAAACTAGCCCTCTGTGCTGAGTTATCGTCACCGGTCAACCCACTGGCGTTGTCTAATGCAACTGCCCAAATAAGTGAAGCGGTCAACGTGCTCCTCTACCACTTTACTCCCTATTTCTAAGCTAGGAGTCGAGGTAGTCCAGTCCTGTAACATCATGTTACATTTTCTGGGGGCGAATCGCATGCCAAACATTCGTAAATTGCAGCTCAAGGTGTTCAGAAGACTGTTGATTCTTAATCGTCCCTTCTGTATGGTTCAGAAACTTGGTGCGTCACACAAAGCATTTCCAACAAACTGCTGCAGACTTTTATCAACAACTGCCTTCGCTTAAGTGAGGCTGAAGATTATATGACCGTCTGAGAAGAATTAGCAACAAGGAACTCTGTCAACAAATCAATCAAGAACCTATTGCTCAAAAAATATTCCAAAGAAAATAGCGATGAATCGGACACACATACACGACGAGAAGATCGTTAGGCGACGTTGCTTGCCAGGCCCTCGAGTGGAATCCGAATGGTAAACGGTGCCTTTGTCATCGCTTCGACGGTGACATGGAAGAGATAAGAGCCTATGGGGACACTCATGTAGCCAGCTAAGAAGGACTACAAAATCTGTTAGTTTAAGGGTTCCATCCACAATAAGTGAGAGATTGTGAGTATGCACTATTGTGAAATTCAAAGCTAGAATCAGATAGTTCCCAGTGTTTTTTTTTGGCGTTTAGGTGGTTCGTTCCCTAGTCGATGTTGTTTCTGGAGAAAATTCAGTTTCAGTCATTTGGTGGATTCCAAGTTCGAATAACACTTCACCAGTCCCCCGCCCTTCATCTCTTCCTTCACATAGTTAACCAGTTTCATAGCCTCTAAGCAAAACACATGATCCTGGCAATTATTGAATTTCTGCTATATATGAATTCTTTTTGACTTTCAGTGATTATTGATTTGTGTAGGAAAAAATAAGGATTAAGTTTGTTAGTTCTGCTTTAAAGACACGTTTATGGAATACTGTTGATAATTGTTATTATTGATTTGGCCGTGGATTGATATCCGTTAGAGAACCATTGAAAACTACCAGCAAGAGTACTGGACAACTAGTCAATTTATGCTAGTTTTGGACTCATCAGCATGTTTGGTATGCGATTCGCTCCCGCCAAATGTAAGATGATGTTACACGACTGAACCACACCGACTCTGACGAAATCTCAGCACGGATACAGGGGGCTAGTTTCGCATAGGCCAGTTTACGCCGTCCCTGGCCTAGTAGACGTGATATCCGACTGGCTGCCGACCAAAGGGCGAGTGTACTGCTCATCAGTCCACTCCGTCCTCCTTTATGGCTGTGAGACCTGGCCATTGAAAGTGGAAGTCATGAAAGGGCTGGCTAGGTGCCTGCGTCCTGTGTCCCGTTTGAGGTGGTATAATAGGGTGAGTATTGTTGAGGTTAGGCGTCGAGTTCTAGGTAAGGAGGGTAAATCAATCGACGAGGCTGTGAAATTACATCGACTGAGATGGTTAGGACATGTGTTACACATGCGTAGACTAGCCATCGCCTTCCTCGACTACAGGCGATGTTGGAAGGTGTAGACCTCCTGACTGGTTTGGGTCCTCGGGACGGTAAAAACCAATCAGGGCTGGAGACAGTCGGTGATATGGCTAGCTCAAAATCGTTCTCAATGGCTAGTGCAGATGCATCCACTCCTTGTGACTTATAATTTCCAATGAAACTGTTTTATTCTTCGTTACTACCATTCCTTTGTCTCACACCTCTGCTTACTGTCTCTATTATGCATTTCTTCTACTTTCTTCTGTTGCTTTGTGTGCTACATGGAGGGAGTGTGGCGACTTGAAGTGCTGCACTTCGGTGCAAAGTTCTATATCGAAAACAGACAGACTTATCAGCAGTATATGCCCACTGTGAAGTGTTCGACTCCAGGACCTTCCAGCTACAAGGGAAGCTAGTAGATCGTTCAACCACTCTGGGCCCGACCTGATTCCAACGGCCAGTCCGCATAAATTCTAAGTTCCTACCAATTCATAGTCAAATTAGAAACAAATCAAATCCCTCCCTATAAAGTAACTCTTGTAAATTTATTACTAGATTGGTTAAACTTCTCTTATCTTTTAAATGTCATGATTGTTTTTTAGGAAAAATTGTACTGTTAGTGCACCATGCATCATAAATCAAACAAAAGTAGTTTTTTTGTTTGTCTATTTTGTTGTAGTACAAATTAGTTTCATTTTTCCTCTCCTAGTCTGGTGTCTGTAATAATTTTCAAAAAAAATAATAAACAAACGTATTGCCATTATTCATATGACAGCTTTCATGTCTTAGTTCTGATGGCAGGCTTCATTTAAAACTATATATATATATATGGATTATGAGAGCTTCGTGTGGTTTTTGAAGACTGTGGGCGGTTGTTACGCCTTGGTTACCCACATGGTGGAAGTTGATTTTTTCCTGGGTCACTTGAAACAGAAAGAGCATCAGTTTTGCATGATCACAGAGACCAAGAAGCAACTGCTTAAGGCTAGTCACACATGTAGTGTCTTTGAATTGGTTTTTATATATTATTATTTCCTTTAATTCCTAGTGGAACATAGGGCTTCAACCTCGCGTCTCCATTGCGTTCGGTTTTGTTCTAGAGTTTTCACCTGGCTCCAAGTCTGCCCTCATGTTTTCATCTCCTCTTCGCATGACCTCCTCCAAGTCACCATCACACTGACGACCAACTCGCCGCTTCCCTTTCGGGTCCCACTCGAGCAATGGCTTGTCTAGTCATGTCACTTGATGACTTGTTTCCTCAGCGTATGGCCAGCCAATCCATCTCCATTTCTTCCTGCCTATTTGCTTCACAATCGGTTCCTGCTGTGTTGGTACTCTCATAGCCAGAGATCCCGGTTGCTGATCTTTTCTCTCCGACCATCTGATTTTGAGTATTGAGCGAAGACAACCGTTAATGGAGGTTTCTA